GTGGTGGTGGTGGTGGTGGCGGTGGTGGTGGCAGTGGCAGTGGTAGTGGTAGTAGTTATTGTAGTTACTGTTGACAACGTTTTAGTAGTAAGTTGATGCAGTTATTATTGTTTTTGTTCCATGTCTAATTATCTCATACACTAACCATTTTCATCAATAACAGGTAAAGCAGATACCCTCTTTTCAGCAAACATTTGTATTGCAGTAATCAACGGGGTATTAGGTTTGACCTAAAGATAGAAACAACATTATCCATTCAATACCAATTATCATAACAATGCACTTCACACAAAGCTTTCTTCTAAACATGGGTCAAACACAGACCAAATACAGCAAAGGGAAGCCTCTCAACCCTGTGCTCCTCCTGAGTGTGATTCCAGTCCACACATATGACCTCGGTTCAAGTCAGCCATTGTTCTACTACACTCATCATCCATTTACTTACAGTGCAAAGTGCCTAACCACGCCCACCCAACTTATTTTTTTTACCAATGCCGCAAAATCCTTTCCCGCCAAGTGTTTCCATCAATGACTTTTGACGGAAGTGTCCAGCGTTAGTCAGCAAAGAGACCAATAAATAATAAACCAATATATGATAAAATTTGAACTCAAACTTGAACCAAAATAGGAATCATCTAGGCAACTATTCCTAGCCATGTTTGTTTAGGTTTTGAGTACTAAAGAATTCTAAATATTTGAGGTCACACTGAATGAGTTCACATGCAAATACACAAATTCTCGCTGYCTGATTGGCTAACTAGTGAAAAAATAAGTTGGGTGGTCACGGTTAGGCAAGTCGCAGTGTAAGGATATTTGAACATTTCTTAAATGAAATAACATTAAATTCGAAACATTCTTACMGTTGAAACATTCTTGTAAGTCCCAATACCAATATCCTTGAGTGAGCTTTTCATATAATCTGGCATTTGTAATGCCTTCATCTAAAGAACATATTAAGGGGAAAATGAATGAATAGATGGATGAATGAAAAGGAAAACCCAAACCCACACCAAACACACCCACCCACCCATCAAACAACCAACCCAACCAGCCAGCCAACTAATCCAAACTCACCTGCCCATTCAAACCAACAAACTAACCGAAGCCATCCTCCCACCCACCTACCCATTCAAACCATCCACCCAATCTAACCCACTTAACTACCAACCAGCCCACCAACCAATCCACTTACAAACCCAACCAACCAACCAACCAACCCACCAACCAACTAACCCAAACCACCCTCCCACCCACCTACCCTTTCAAACCMTCCACCCAATCTAACCCACAACCAGCCAATCTATTAAGTACTTACATATGAAAATAAAAACTTCAGTATTCTTTTGTGAGTAACAATATAAAGAGCATTATCAGTTGCATAGTCAATGACAGGCAGACGATGAATTTTGTAGTCCAACAACATCTTGACTGCATCATAAAGACTAAAACAAAATTTATTTAATGACTATGAATTAAATTTAATTAATGTAATTATTACAGTGTCACTACTCCAAGAAGGCCACCTCAACAAATTTTCTACAAATTATCCAACAGTGTTTGAGTATTCAGATTAAAGATTAGCGGCAAATTTTGAATTTAGATATTCTTCCATTGTTCAGATTGGCAAAACTAAATGCTAAACAAGAGCTAGTGTTATATCTTATTTGTAAACATAGAAAAAATAGTTAAAAAATAGTAATGTATGACTTCAAATACGAGAGGAAAAAAATTATAAACTATATGAGGCACAGTCTTTATAACAACAGTTTGTTTCTTCCAGACAACAATATTATCAGGCTGTTAGATCTTAAGGCTGTGTTGCTATGCGACAGCATGTTTATATTCGACAACAAAGGTACTTGCAGTCTCCTAAACCATGTGAACTTGTCCAATTTTTAACAATTCTAATTCAGATACCTACTTTTGATCGGCTAATTTGTAGAAAATTTGTTTGGGTGGCCTTGGTTAGAGTAGTTTCACTGTAATAGGGTATTCTGAGATATCATTTGGGGTAGAGGTTAATTGTGATACCTAGTTGACATTTGCAGGAGTGATGCATTGACAGGAGGGAAAAATAATCATGTTTTGCTGTTTCAGGCCATATGGCCATTCCCTTGAGTATTATATCACCTCTTTTCTGTAAGGGAAATGCTTGAGAAGATACTAAAAAAACTTATATTTTACATATAACCACCACTCCCCATACGTGGATCTTCCGTGAGGTTCCCTCCACACTCACTGCCACTAAATTCTATGTTTACAATATACAACATGGAAGCAGTAAACCACTACGCCACCCAAAAACATACATTCTCAAGTTGACTTATTTCAAAGTAAGGAAAACACAAGAAGCTAATTCCTCAAGTACAGGGGAATACAGAAAGCACAATTAAGTTATTGTAACAATGCATGTTACATGATGTACAGTACCTCTGTGTTGGACCAATGCGAACTAATTTTGGTTGATTAGTGTTGAGCGACTGAATCTCTGAAAGAAAATATGAAAAAGATTTATAATCATAATCATTCAGTACAAAGAGAGCAGTAGAAATGACAGGTTGAAACATACAACCTCGTTCCCAGGGCCCTCTCACGCAGAGGAGAGAAGACCCTGGTGTTGGCTGGTCACTAGACAAATCCGACACTTAGCATATTCGTGTGTTTTGAAAATACCGCTGAAGAAATAACTGGAGGAATGCGGGCACATTGAATAAGCATAAATTGGCACTTGATATTTTCCTCTTATATTCTCTCTATTTCATGACACACACCGGACGCATAATGTATTACTAATAAATTAAATATGGCAACTCAAATAAACCGGTTGAGTTTTAACAGTGCTTCGTCGTGTGGAATTTACTTTAAAAAAAGGTAATTTTCCATCTTTGAATTTTGAACCTCTTCTCAAGCTTTTTGAGAATTTCAGCGGCCGTAGCCRCTGATTTTGTATTATTACTTTCAGTCTTGCCTACATCTTGCTTGAATCTGTCATTATATTTCTCACTCAGGCATGCCATGGCGCGCCAAAAAACCATAACAAAGCAACAACCAATCAAAATTCAAGATCAAGTAAACCAATCAAAACCTTTATTTGACCAGCCAACGCCAGGGTCTTCTCTCTCTGCGTGAGAGGGCCCTGGGAACGAGGTTGTGAAACATAAATACAGCCTGTAGATAAAGCTTAATATATTAATATTTCTTTCAGAACAAATGCGGAGAGACCATGATCAGGAGAATGACACACGGTCTGAAATGAAAAAGTGTTTAAGCAGACACTGTCATCACACTTAGTTAGGTCATCTACCACATTTTGGGTAAGGTTTCCCTGATCTGTCTATAATTATTGTAACACAAGGTGAAATGTTTTACATTGCAAGGCACAAATGATAGCTAAATAATTAACGATTATTAGTAAAAATACACAGGTGATTATTGAAAATCTCGCACGCTGATTGGTCGAGAAACTCACACTATCACACGATAATCACCTCCAGCGATAATCCAAAATGGCGGCCAGCCGCTTTGTTGCTGTTACCAGAACAATGTGTGTTTTATTTTCTTTTTCTTCTTCTTTTGAAATAATCACCTGTGTATTTGTACTAAAACAATTATTTGCCTCAGCCTCAGTGAATATCGGGGAATATTTACCCCTTTACCTATTTATTATTATTATCATTATTATCATTTAATTAACACCACATTACTTCTCACCTCTCCATGTTTCTATTTTATGTTCTTCCAGTTCCTCCATTTGTGCCTAAGAACAGAAGGGAAAAATAACCTAATCAGAAAATAAAATGCAATACAAAAGGATTATACTTATATAATATTAACCAGATTATAACAGAAGCAAGTAAACAAATATAAACAAATATAAGTACACGAACCAAACAAACAAACCATAAATAAACAAAAAACAAAAACCAATTCAATAATAAAACAAGAAAACAACAACAACAACAACTTACAAAGAAACAAAAATATAACATTCTGTCAGTAAGTATGCAGCAATATTTCATTACAAACTGCAATTTTCATAAACATGCGAACTCTTTGTCTGAGAGCTGCACACTGAAATCTGTTTTTCGCTGCCTTCAATCAAACCTAATCAGTTGGTACCTTTCATATTTTTGATTGACGGCAGCAAAAAACCAAGTTTCAGTGGGCAACTAGGAGACACAGAGTTTGCATGTTTATGAAAATTGCCGTAACAAGTATGAGCAGTATTGGTTATGTCATATTTTATAAAAGCTAGCAGTTTAAAATAAAGTGCATGATTATCACATTAAAATTGTTATTAAACTGATCTACAAATTTATAATTTATCCAAACAATCTAGTCCAAACTCATCACATATTTAGCTTATTGGCGCCCACTTATTCCGATTAGAGGTACGATACACAATAAATATTATTATCATATAGCAACAGAGACAAATTTATAGAGTTAGAAATTTTAAAAAAACCGTGCGTACCTGATTAGTTGAACCAGTTTCCTGGTAAAAGTGAGAAGGTTAGAAAATTTGAATGATCAGTGAACAGAAATTATGACTGGGGTATTGGATAAATAAATGAATGTCTTAATAAATGCATGGATTTTGGATAAATGTTTTAAAAAGATATTGAGCCAAATCATTTAAAAAATAAAATAATTATTACACAACAATATGTATTAATATGTATTTATATATTAATTAATTAATAATGGTTTAATCGTTTATGGCACACATTTATAATTAATATGAGCTGATTCAAACTATAGGCAATGAATTTAATTTATAACTGCATTTATTTCCTAATGATGAGAGGTGTAATGGAAGTTACTTAGTGCACTTGCCTCTCAATCCCCTCTTGGAGTCTATGGTTTGACATTTTTAACTATGTTTGATTTATGGACTTGACATGTGAAAATAATTTGTAAGATTTCTCCCTTGATTCAAGGGATTTTCTCTTGGTTCTCCAGATTTCCTCCCTTCGTAAATCCCTGTCTTGTTAATTCAAATCCAATTATTTGTCCCTTGACCCAGCAGTTTTTCAAGGTTTGGTAAATTTTGAACGCTTTTTATCATACCAGAGGCATATTAATTTTGCGACATAGTAGATCTTTACTATGGGCACTTCTCATTAAGTCAAACTGATTTGTCTAATCAACCAGTTAGTTAATAGAACTGAACCAACACCGCCCGAGCCAGTTCTAACAACTGAGGTGCACCATTTGAGAACTGGCCGCTCGGACCGAACAGCTTGAAAAGTGCCCTACCYGTAAGTTAACTTTCGCCAGTGACACCTATTTTTTAGATATTCACGATAGGGCTAACCTCAATATCTCCTTTCACAATCACTGATGTGAATAAATAAATTAGCATTTTTAATTCCCCTTCAAAAATTTWAAAAAATCAGTTGCAGTACTTGGTCACATGGTTTATTGGTTAAACTGTCCGCAAGAGCTGCCTGCAAAAGGTCTATATAGAATATATAAATATTTAATTGATTTCATAACTCACCAATGGAGACTTGTAGTATCTTCGAAGAATATTGATAAAATCTGTAATCGTGAGCATTCCTGGAATAATTCAATAAATACTAATTACTTCTCATGATTTTAAGTTGAGTCAATCAATCAATCAATCAATCAATCAATCAATCTTTATTTCATACCAAATTTGCAAAATTACATTAATTGTACTAAACTACAATACAGTAAAAACCCGCGTATAAGAACCTAAAATTTAAGAACCAGTTAGGCTAAAATTCCATTTTTAAGCACCCTTCACATTAGAACCATTTTAGGCTAAAATCCTAAAACGGGTTCTTATTTTTAAAAAAGAAAAAAAAAAATAGAATCAATCTTTTCAAAAATATATTTATAACACAGTCTGTACACAATAATGCTATAAACACTATAACTGTACATGGTTACTGTAAAGAACATGTCCTCATTGAATAAAAAAATCCAACTTAAAATGAAACTTTATTTCATTTCTTGAACAAAAGTTAAGAACCTAATTAAGAACCTARTTAGCCTAATTTAACACTAAATACCATTTATATAAGAACCTGTTTAGGCTTACTTGAAAAAACCTAGGTTCTTATACACTGGTTTTTACTGTACAGAAAATTGGTTGGTACTGCAAGCCAACTGTAACAGCCATAGGCTAAATAAGGCAGTTGGCAAATTATAAGATAACGTTAATATTTTTTTGGTCAATAGAAATATGTATAAGAAAAGAAGAAAAAGGAGAGGAAAAAGAAGGAAAGGAACAAAGTGGCAGCATATAAACACCTACATTCAAAATTAAAGATTGTAAAGTGCATTCATTTGAGATGCATGTATAATACACTATTATAAAAACTTTTCTTTATTATAACTATTTAAGAATTAAAAAACTGAGTTTTTGAAGCTGCTCAATAAACTTGCAGACCATGTTTTATCAGGTGGAAACCACTCCATTACACCTTGTGCTTTTAAACCTAAAGCACTCTTGCTTGTTAGCAAACAGTATATATTACAAAACATGAGCACATGTCCTTTTACTGTGTGATATAAAAATACTTGCAGCTGTAAAGCAAGAGAGAAGCGGCTGAGGAACAAGAGGCGTAGCCAAATCAGTGACATTTGAAGGAATAAAGTTTTAATCTGGAAAACATAGGAGTACTATTTATGGTTGTTTTGCAAAAGATTTCAAATCTGTAGAGTTTTTCAACTTACTATAGTTTAAATTTTGATGAGGAATAATTCAGTACCTTGTAAATTTTTACGGCAGTGAAAAACCATTTTCCAATAAATAACTTGCAAATATTAAGTTGGCATAATAATATCGAAAACTGATTAAAGGTACACCTTATAACAGCCTATAACTTACCAACAAAATCCTGTCTTTGGCTGTCAAAGACTGGGGCAGACCGCACACCTAAAAAACAACATACCAGCATTTAATATACAACAAAACGAATGATGATAATTATTGAAATTACCATGAACCTCCACAAATTAACGCTGGGCTTACAATTGCCCAGCCTTCCTTGTTGGCCTCAAAACAATTACAGTAAAACAATGTAATCATGTGAACAGAACCTCACTTTTGGCGCTTCACAATCTAGAATTATTGCCTTTGCTGAACCAATCAACAATTGACAAAATGCTGAACTCATCAGTTGACAGGTGCCTGATCATTAGAGACCTTTAGATCTAATGACGAGTACGAGAACGAGTATGAGTACAAGTTTTTAACTTTTAAGAATTGATACTATCATTTTGTAATCGTGCTATTGTACGTGGATAGAAACTATAGATGTAAAAAATCAAAAATCTACTACAATTCAGTGTTAACCACGTACACTGGATCAATTTTAAAACTCTTACTCATACTCAATCTTGTACTTGTCGTTGGATCTAAAGGTCCCTATTGGCCAACAGATGGCTGCTTGTTGAGTGGATGTTTGCTGGATGGTCACAAGTTGCATAATTAATGATATTATTGTATTGTTACAAACCTACCATTTGCTACTAGAGCAAAGAAGGCCTTTTTAACCTTAAAAAGCAACAAGAAAAACAACATGAAACAACAAGATAAGCATTAATGTATTAATACAAAAAAAAAAAAAAAAACTAGTCTCCAGGGTGTTGCAACAATTCAGAATGATGCCTTGGTGATTTTTGCCCAACGATTGAGATTGTAGTATGTAAACTTTTTAGAACCTTTGAAAATTTGAAATTCATTTTTAGTGTAGAATAAAATATAATATTCCATAATTTTGGAGATCAATTCTAATGTCTTGGCCACTCCTGGGTGGTACCTTGATACCTAACAGGTTTTACAACCCAATGGATAAGGCAGGTGATAGATCCAGTTAAAATTCAGATTAGTTGATTTTATTTGTGGAGGGAGCAAAAACAAGAGAAGGTAATCTTTTATGTGCTGCCATGCAAACATATCTTCTTTATTTTCTTGGTATAAATGTTACAAAGGGAAACCAATAGTCAAGACCTCTTTACGCTGGGAGTAATAATTTCCCATTTCAGCCCACGTGTCATCGACTTGAGAATAAGATTATATTTTTGTATGAGTTGTATCATATTCATGTGTCTTCTCATGCACAACCATTAAACAAAGAAATGATACTCTAGGGAATGACATGTGGTTTGAAATGGGCAAACAATATACCAAGATAAAATAGTCTAAAAAGGAATATTTTCTAGGGATTATTGTTTACTTACATTTAATCTGGTGTCAAACACTACTATCTTAGAACTTTTTGGCATTAATTCATGAATCTTTCTTGATTTCAAAAAATTTGAGTAGACCCACTTTTCTCCTGTGAAAGAAAAAGAAAGCACATTCTCTTTATGTCTTCCATATCTATTTTCTATATTTTAAATCCTTTACTCTCATGCAAGCTGAATGTTTCTGTACAAAGAAAAAAGTTTACTGCCTCTTTTTTCCACTTTCCCAACTATTTTTTCCAATTCCCCCCATTAATTTAATGGGTGCTTATAAAGCTTTTTTGACCCAGAAATACACAAGTACTGTAGGATTTCTCACATTTCAGTGCTACAAGATTGAAGCCCTTGTTAAGCAGTTTTTGTGTCGTGCAATACACCTTAAACATTTAGTGGATACAGTAGTGTCTTGTAAGCAAAACAAGGGGTTCACTATAGGGGCATCTGCTCCCCCAAAAGTTTGCTTTTTGACACCAACATTTAAAAAAAACCCATTAGGGGCATAGCGAGGCCTCGA